AAACCTATACGTGTCAGACTAACCTCTCACAACATTTGCGCACGCTAGGCAGTACTCACCCTTTAAGTGCTAGGCACTCTTAGTTTTATTACCAGTGTAGATCTTCTAAAAGTGTATTTTATCTTCTAAATTGGGTTTCAGAAACATTTTATAATTATTCATCTCTCGCTGGTATTGCATTGTGTACTTTAAGAACGGTAACCGAAAGTTATGTGTTTTTAAAATAGAGAACCAAATTTCGAGTTATATCCCTTTGATGCTGAAAGCATTTGCTTTAAATGGATATACATTCTGAAAGGGTATTTTTTTTTTTTTTTAAAGGGATGTACGTGTGTTTAAAAATATAAGGGGCACTAGGAAAGGGGGTAACGTCTTACGGGGGAGTAGTGGCTTACACCTTCCGCTTTTGAGTAACATCCAGTGGCCCTAGTTCGAACCCGAGCATGATTCTGGTTAGACTTTAAAAGGTCATCACGACGAATACCATATCTATTTTGTTTTTCTTGTCCTTCAACGAGAAACAGGTGAACTCTACTTCACAAGCCCTATGAAACGTCATGTTCGAAAAGGGAACTGTACTTTACTTTTAGTTTTACAACGAAATATACTCTACTTCACCTGGACCTAAGGTTCACATACGTATGTTACCAAAATTACCTTTGCAAAAAAAAAAAGGATCTGTTTATCGGATGTGAAATTCAATAGAAAAATAATACATCTAAAAATAACTCGTTATCCGATTGGTTGAGTGATAACGCAGACAACCAATAGATGCGCTTGAGACAAAAGGTGAGGGAGCGTTGATCGTCTTCACCTCACCTGTATCATACCTGGAATCTTGGCGTTAAGGCACAAGGTATCCAAGGTAAAATCATCCAGGTGAAAAACTTCTCTGGTATTCGAGGGAGAGAGGAATCAGGCGAAAGGCAAAAGGGAGGTTAGAAATAGAGTGTATCTTTATTTTTAAATGTGGAAATATTCGAATGGCTTTTAAAGATGTCGAGGGACTAGAGGGTTAAGGTATATTCAGCCAGATTAGAAAGTTGGGGGATAAGGGGTTAAATAAAGAGCCGAAAATAGAACAGGTGAATGGTGTGTAGGGTGGGGGTGGGGCGTCGGTTTCTGCTGTCTTCTATTGAACACAAAAGCTGTAGGGTTACTGGGTAACATCCATATGGTTACCATACTGTGTGATAATGGGTAATCGTGGTCGAGAGGTAGAACGCAGAGCTGCTAACCAGAGAGTCTCGAATTAAAATATCAGCTGGAGTACGGACATTTTGGTGTCCACATCAGTTAGTGATGGGTACCCAGAAGCGTAGCGACCCTTCCCGGGGACAAACTCATAATTTGGCGCCCCCCTCGGGAGCACATTTTCGATTTGCACCCCCCCCCCTTCAACTTTTTTCGATTTGCACCCCCGACCCCTCAACTTTTCGATTTGCACCCTCCCCCCCTCAAACTTTCGATGTGCACACCCCCCCCCCCCCCTCAAACTGCAAAAATGCAGCTAAATTGACACTTTAATTTGTTTTTACAACCCATTTTGGCGCCCCTGAGGTCGGCGCCCGGGGACATATGTCCCCCCCTGCCCCCCCCCCCCCCCCCCATCGCTACGCCTCTGTGGGTACCATACCCACGTTAGGGAAAGTAAAGACGGCTGGGCATAGTGCTGAGCACACTATCCGTTTATATGCTGAAGCAGATGCGTAGCGACGGGGGGGAGGGGGGCAGGGGGGTACATATGTCCCTGGGCGCCGACCCTAGGGGCGCCAAAATAAGCTCATTTTAGCTGCTATTTTGAATTATAAATATTAAAAAAATATATATGGGGGGGGGGGGCGCCAAATTAAAAGTTTGTCCCTGGGCGCCGGGAGGGGTCGCTACGTCTCTATGCTGGCGTGAGAGAAACAGGTGAATTCTACTGACCACGCTATCCCTGAGGTCACAGAAATAGGTGAACTCTACTTCATACGACCCTTAAAACACCAGGTTGGAAAAAAGTTAACTTTATATGCCGTGTAATATACATACACATGGGTTCTAAATATTACTAGATTTTAAGTTTTGAACCATTTAGTTTTTGATTGGCAGGTGAAGTCGGGCTCGTCTCTTTCTGGTATTATTTTATATTGAGAGATAGTGGTGTTATTCTACTCTCTTGCATACAGTGATACCCACTCACGCTCAATAATTGACAGATATTTTGACAGTTTTCGCCGATTTTACATTTTCCTACTTGCCTGTATATGGAATATAAAGGATGTAACAACTGGGAAAGTTGAACGATCGAATTTAACTCAGTGTTTAAAAAATTGAGTGGTTTAACTCTGTCTTTAACGATCGTGTGGTTTAACCCTGTGTTGAACAATCGAGTGGTTTAACCCTCCCCCCCCCCCTCCCCTGTGGTTCACTTTTCTCTCACCTGTGTATTCTAAGCGATGGCTGCGATGAACGATCGAGTATAATTCAGGGTTGAACGATTGAGTGGTTTAACTTTGTGTTTAACCATCTAGTGGTTTAACTCTGTTTTGAAATATTGAGTGGTTTAACAATGAGTATACTGATCGATTGGGTTAACACTGTGTTTAACGATCCTGTGGTTTAACCCTGTGTTGAACAATCGAGTGGTTTAACCCTCCCCTCCCCTTTGAGGGCTCACCTTTCTCTCACCTGTGTATTCTAAACGACGGCTGTAACTCGACACACCTGTGCCAATATTTCACGTGAAGGAAATAACTCACGCGGGCGTGCTTGTGGCTGTGTAATAGCCCCCCCCCCGGTCTTTCCCCCTCCCCCACACCCACCGTTAACAGTTTAAGCACAGACTGTGAGCAGATTTGTGTGTCAAGGTGTTTTAATTACTCACCTACTCTGGCCTTATTTTTGACACTTTGTGCGTTGTGTAGCTGGGTCCGTTATGCGTTCGATTATGTTTAAGTGATGATCTGATTAGTCTACTGTACATTGGCTAGCCTTGCTGGATTACAGCTATTCTAACTAACCATACTGTAACTAGTTATACAATAGTTATTCTATTGTACCACAGCTAGTCCACTATTACTGAGACTAGCAAGTTGCATTACGGCCAGTCTAGGTATACTATGGCTATTCTATTGTACCAAAGCTAGGCCAATATTACTGAGGCTAGCTAGCTGTATTACAGCTGTTCTAGTTATACCGTGGCTAAGCTATGTACATCGGCTAGTCCAGTATTAATTAGGCTAGCTAGCTAGCAGTAGCTGTATTACAGCTATTCTAGCTACACACCGGCTTATCTATGTACATCAGCTAGTCGAATATTACTGACTACTAGCTAGTTCTATTACAGCAAGTCTAATTATACAATGGCTAATCTGTTGTGCCCAGTGTTTCTTCCCGGGGGGGGGGGGGCGGCGATCAATGTTAAAAGTGTTAATTTTCTATATAAATTCTATTTCGTTCGGGAGAGGGAGGGGGGATTAATGGTCCTTGTTTGGGGGAGCTCTGCCCCCCTCCCCGAAAAGATGCCTAAAAGAAACTCTGGTTGTACCACTGCTAGTTCAACATCTTAATTCCAACAAGTTTGTTTATGGATTTCACAGGAAATGACGTCATGTATGAACCCAACTACGTATATATTTTAAAATACACTTTCTGGTATCCACTTCAACGCCCCCTACATCTTAATCACGCAACCATAACTAATTACCTTGATTACTAACGACGGTGACTTAAAACTTACCTGTGACCCGGACCCCCGAACTTACCTGTACCCCATTCACCTGAGCAGATCAGTGTATCAAATACGACCGGGTCTTCGAAGTTGTTTCTAAAAATAGCTTCTAGAGAAACGTGCCAATTTTTTTTTTCCAGAATTTTTTGTTTTTGTTCTCGTCAGACGTGAAGTATCGTCTGACTAACAGACGACAGAGAATTTCTGCGTCTGATGGTTTGAAATGAGTTACGTCATGGCAAATTGCGCCAATTTTTTAAAAGTTGGAATGAGAAATCGTTTTGTTTGTGTACCGTTGTTCAATTTTTAAATGCCCAAAAAAAAACATCACCATTTTAGAGCGTTCTTTCAAATGTAAACTGACAAATCGGTACATTATTTGGACGTTAATTAAAACCAGCATACACATCTCATTATTAGACAAGGTGGTGGAATAGTAGAGCTAACTCTAGCTTAACGCAAATCTCGAGTTTTAGCTCCCGAATATGAGCTCATGGTCCTGCTTGAGTTCACTCAGCGCTGGTGGGAACCCGACAGGAGTTGGGGAAAATACAGTTGACATTGCTTTCCTGCTGACAACACAATCCGGTCATACTTTGAGGTCATAGAAAATTGACGAAATCTTCAACATTTTTCTCCACATATCTTCTAGTTTGAAAAAAATACTGCTCAACCGTAACACTATAATAGAAATTAATACGGAATTTTATTAACACTATTTGGGCGTTAATTTAAACTATTATTCGGAGAAAACTATATTTATAGCTACATACATACACACACACACAAATATATATATATTATATATATATATATATATATATATATATATATATATATATATATATATATATATGGTATGTACACACTCCCACCTGTACACAACCCGTACACACCGTGTATTACACACATATTTTTTTACATTGTTACCTCATGCCACCATCACTCCTCCCACACCACACCCCTACCCCACATCACACACACACATAGATCCCCGGCCCTTAAGGCATCACAACGTGATGCCCGGCTTCTTTAACCATTAAGTGGCGCGTCTGGCAACGCCTCCCGTAGTAGAAAAAAAAAAAACTTCTTTGAAAAAATGCTAACCGGATCCTGGGCTTCAAGCGTGCGTCCAAAACTTTCTCTAAGGCTAGGTAATCCAGGTAAAAGACAAGAGAAACAACTCCCTAGGCGAAGAGGTGGGGGTGGGGGGTGGGAGGGTAGAGATTCCAGTCTGGATATTTTTTTCCCCCTGCTGCTCACATCAAGTCCGTTGCTTCTTGTAACTCCGCGTGTTTTTCGACCCAGTTGTCCCGCGGGTTGTGTGGTTGAGGGGTTCGGTTTGCTGAGGGTGTTCGGTTGTCGAGGGTTCGGTTGCTGAGGAGGGTTCGCATGCCAGAAGATGGCTGCTGGTTTGTGGTGATTTCTTCAAATTTCAGGATTTTTTTTTTACTTCCGTGTGTTATTATGTTGATTATCTATTTGGTATAGGATTATTGCTGTTGGATTTCCCCATAGAAATTTTTAGTATGAAATATTGAGGAGTAGTATGGTGTCTTAATAGGTGTTTTGGTAGTTGGTTTTATAGGTGTGTGCTATGTGTGTTGATTGACGTGTTGATAGGTGTGTTGATAGGTAGGTTTATAGGTGTGTTGGTAGTTGTTTTTATAGGTGTGTGTTATGCGTGTTGATCGACGTGTTGATAGGTGTGTTGATAGGTGTTGTGATTGAGTTTATCGGTGTGTTCTTGGTAGGTATTTTGATAGTGTGCTGATAAGTGTGTTGAAAGGTGTGTTGATAGGTGTATTGATAGGTGTATTACTATGTGTGTTGATAGTGTGTTGGTTGGTGTGTTGATAGGTGTAAAGTGTATTGATGTGGATTAAAGTTACTTGTATACGAGACAGGACACGTGTGTAGAATAATACTAGCTGTGTTCATAGGTGTGTCACGTAAGTGTAGATGTGTCTGTTGATACGTGTGTCGTGGATATGTATATGCGTTTTGATAAGTGTGTCATAGATTTGTAGATAGGTGTCTCGATAAATGTGCAGATTGATGTGTATATAGGTGTTTTGATATAATATGTAGATAGATGTGTATATACGTGTTTTGATAAATGTGTAGATAGATATGTATATAGTTGTGTTGATAAATGTGTAGATAGATGTGTATATATGTGTCTCGATAAATGTGTAGATAGGCAAGTTGATAAATAGTTATTGTGTATATTAGATATGTCCTTTTTTTTTGGCTCACAACGTTAATATATGTTGATGTGTGTTGTTATATGTTGATATAATACGTCAATAAATGTGTTGATGATTGCGGGGAAGTACTTTATGTCTGTTCTCTTTACTTCTTGTTGTATGTTGATGAACTACACCAGTAAAATATTGTGAAATTACTGCCTTGGTAATATCGATGACGAAGGTATAATATACTAGTAGTCTATCTGATGACGTTTTGCTAGCTGTACTCTATTTGAAGAGGTTTTGCTACCTCTGTGATTAGTTCAGTAAAATTTTGCTCTGTCGTCTATTCTGTAAGTTGTTGGTAAAATGTTGCTACCTTTGTGATCTATGTCTTAAACTGCTACTTCCGTGGAAGCTATTAGGTTTATTTTTACTACTTCTATTATCTGTTTGTTACATTTTTACCTTCTTTGGGTTATGTTAAGTTTTTTTAAAAATAATTTTAAAAAAAACGAGCCAACGACCTTGACCACAGTTAATTTTACGTTGCTAATTAACGAAAATCGACCCGTGATTGATTGCGAACATGTCCATCGATATTGCGTGTACATGTGTTAAGCAGATGGCCAGTGTGTTGTTTCTTGTGCTGGTGCTGTCTCTATCACACTCGCGTTTAGTCTCCACACTTTGTGTTCTTGGTTTATTTTGAAGGGCGATAACTCTAGCTAATGAACTATGGTGTTTAGCTTTTAAATTTGAAGTTCTAATAATTTAGTTAATCAAGATAACATTTTAATTCAGCTATTGTATTAATTATGTGGTTTTTGTTTACTGTTCAGAAAAGTGTGTGATAGTTATTAATTATATGTTATTATACACTTGTGTTAACCTATGCAGTTCAAGTAATTTAGAGTTTGAAATGTGTTTTTTCTAACATCAGGAGTTATAACAGGCCAGAATATCGAGTTGAAAGAAACTGATTGGCTAAGACAAAGGTCACGTGTCTTGCACGTTCGGTATAAATTAAAATAATTATAATTTTGAAAACGTAAAATTTAAGAAGAAAAAAATGACGGACAGAACTATTTATTTGTGTCAATTAAAGCTATGTTTAAACACTTTGAGATAAAACCATATGTGATTGAGTTCAATAGTTAACAAGGCTTCAAAACAAGTTGCCTTCACTGTATGATCACGACTTGGATTAAGCAAGCCTGAAAGGACGGATTATGGTTCATTTCTTAACAGAGACGCCATCTTGACCTAATTTTATACGTTCAGGTTTCGAATGTATCGAAATGTAACAGCGCTACCTTGGATATGACCTAAAAGTATTGTGTGACCTTCGTTTGAGTGAGCATCGCGCCCTCTTTTTTGTAAACATGATTTCGTCAAAATCTCGAAGAGTCGCCGCCCCTGGTGGTACCGAGGAGTACCACAGCAACATACCGCGGCCGTCGGACATCGCCAAGAGACTGGCCACACCCTCGTCCACTTCGACGCCCCCGTCCTCGAAACCCTCCTCCATCTACGCCCACGGAACCTCATACACAAACCCTCCCATCGGGCTCGATCACCACGCCCACAACGTCGATCGCCACGCCCACCACACGGACTACCACGCCCACAATCTGGATCACCACATCCACAACCCTTACGACGACCTCAGCCTGTACACCACCCAAATCAACGCCGCCAACAAACTCAAATCCAGCTCCTCCGACTCCCTCGCCACATCCCGAAGCCAAAAAGCCCTGCCCAAGCCCCCTACCAGCTACTACGCCTTCCCCAAGCCCCACCACTACGAACCCCCCACCAGCTACGGCTACAACAAGCCTACATTTCTAGAACCTTCGTCGTCAAGCCCAAACAGATCCAACCCGTCAAAGACTTCTCCAGGTCACATCAGTTCGACTGGGTCCGGTCCCCAAAAACCCAAAGATTTACCCAAACTCTACTCCCACAACAGACCAACTTCCCCGGAAACGAACCCGCGCGTCGACTACTTCGACAAGACCAAGTATACGGAACCGTCCGGATTTTATGTTTATAACAATCCCCCGCTTCCGGAAAAACAAAACCGGCATCAACCAGACCGGGCGAGATCCGTAGAACCGGTTGGATACTACGAATACATTTACCCCAAAACCGCACCGGTTTACGCCACTCCGAATAGACAGCCTTTCACTTACACCGGTCATGTCACTGAATCGGATCCTAAAATCGCCTTTAACTTCGGCCTCCCTCGTGATACCTCTACGGAAAAGGAACTGGTGACAAGTTTTTTAAGTTCCGACGGTCAACCTTCGTCGACGGGTCAGCGGCACAACGGAAAGGAGATCGGTCACTACGGAAGAAGCCATATCGATAACTGGTCTCAATTTCCGGGGCGTCCACAAACAAGCAATGAAGACCGCGGTATCGACCACATCCCGAAAGATCAAGTCTTTTACACATCGACGCCAAAACGACGCCCCGCTCCACCTCCGCATTTTGACCCCTGGGCAAATCCAGAATCTAATCTTACTTCTGCGCACCGGCCGCTGCGGTTGAAATGTGATGCAATACGTTCAGAAGAGAGAAGCCAGAGTATGAGCCCCATAAGCCACAATTTGAGAACCGATGATTCTTGGTACAGAGATGCGAAGACACTACAAGGAAAGAAAAACGACGAACCTTTATACTGCGATGTCCCTTTTGAAGGCAGGGCGGCATCAGCGTCGCCGTTTCGCCACAAGGACCACGACAACGATTCCACGACGCCGCCAAAACCCGGGGATACCAAACAGCGGGGTTTCGAGATCAAATCCAACCCGGCGAACCAACGCGGGTTGGCCGCGACGTTAAACTACCACCAGCAGCTCCGGAAAGAGCTGGGGATGCCGCAGTCGTCGCACTCCCCGCACTACAGCTCCATCACGGCTCCCTACGGCTTGCCTTACTCCAACATCATCACCCCGTTACCCAGCTCCAGCGACAGCAGCTTGCAGACCTCCGCTGAAACCTCGCCTATAACCCCGACTCCTAAATACAGCCCTGAGTATCTAGCACAGCTAGGCTACGACGCCAACCTCAGGAAATACTACGAGGCATTTCAAAACCTCCACGGGCACTGCTCCACGCCCCACCTGCCCTCTGCGACCATGACCCCTTTAGACCAACCCTTATCCGGGTCGGACCCTAACCTACGCAGCGAATCCAAACCCTCGGGAGCGTTCAACTACTACGATAACGTCAGCCCTAAATCTCGATCGAAACCAGTGGGCAACAACCCATACGAGACGCTTCACTTTGTGGATCAGTATCCGACATCCAACCCACGCCCGTCCAAATCCTCATCGTCGTTACCGACATCCTCGTCGATTTATCACCCCTCGGAGTCTTTTTACCAGTTTCACGGTCGACCTTCACCTTCCACCTCGCCGTTCTCGTCCTCCGCCTCGGCGCCCGGATCGACCAAGCACTCCTACTACAACTCCAACAACGTCCAAGGCTTCTGCACTATTCCGAGAAACGGGAACTCCCAAAACGCTATTTATAGCCTGCAGCGCCGAGAACCGAGTTACGAAGAGATTGAGAACATCACGCCTTACGATAAATCGCAAGATGCGAATAAATCTCCGGAAAACTTGAAAAATCCCACACCCGGAAAAAACAAAGATTCCAAAATACCAACGGCTACTTTCGCGAAAGAAAATTCCGGGATAACGGTTAGTAGTTGTAGCCACAGAGTAGCCCCCGATGTAGCACTGAAGGTAGCCAGGGCGGAGATTGAGCTAAGCAACCAGCGCGATGCTAGCTTCGCCCCGCAGCGTGATGAGAGGAACAGGACGTCCGCCCAGAAATCAACCAAAGGTATTTTTGGCTCCGTTTCAGAGAAGTCCCACATGTTCGAGCGGGCTGCCGTGAACCAGAGGAACGAACCTTTAGTTCCTAGCTACAGATACAAGACGAAAAACAATGACGCGGAATCGCCGATTAAAAAGAGCGGTTCTCACAACGATGCAACCAGCCCGGGGGATGGCAAATCGGCGTTTGATAAATCCACAGCGGCGTTCTTAGCCTCATCCATCCCCGCCACGTCATCGTCTTCCTCGCTTCCGGTGGCGACGTTCGTGACGTCATCGCCGTCGCGCGGGGGGCGCATGTCCAACCCGGAGGATGGGAGCAGTCACGAGGTGACGCCCCGGGATCGTGACGCCAACAGGGCGAGGGCGATGACGTCAAGCATGCACGAGACCGGAAGTGTGGACGTGGAGGCGCTCAACGACTTCCTGATCAGCTCCTGCACCTACCCCTACCACCTGTTCTCCAGGAGGAAAAAGCCTCTGCCTGGTAAGTATTCGTTCCCGGTCACTTAGATGTGTCGCTAACATGTGATTTTAATGTATGCAAGGTCAGGCTTAACATTCAGTCGGCTTTTTAGCTATCAATCTTAGTTTGTATTTTGGTTAGCCGTTTTGCACAGTCGGCTTTCTGGCAATCGGTCTTTGCTCACTTGATTTTGCGTTATCGAGCTTCGATAAGTCGTCTTTCGTTTTTCGAAATTTAAGCAGAAGAATGTTTTTGCCTTCCGTAAAGCGTACACTTTTGTTTACGAACTGATAAGTATTTCATCAAATTATACAAACCCAACTAACAACTTATGCCGACGTGTAACCAACCTATAACTGTTATATAAAGGTTGTATACAATATAGAAAATAATTGATACCAAAATAAGGTATAAACAAACCGTCTCTATTTACTCTATTCCAACAATGTTCAACAATGGAAACTATGCAGCGCAAATTACTTCAGATAAAACTTGAGATTCCTTCATATCAAACATAGAATGACATTTCAAAAATGTATGCAACCCCTTGTCTTGAATGTGTTACTGTGTACTGTTATAAATATTTTACTATAATATACCGTATCTTAGGTAAACAAAAAACATTTACATTGCTGTCTTTTGTAGATTAGTTCATCATTTTTTTTTTCACTTTGTGAACTGTATTTGAAACTGAAAATCAGAACGATATCGGGGTCGGCGTGGTCGAGTCGGTAAAGCTTGTGGTTGCTAAACCGAAAAGTCTCGAGTTCAAACCTTCGGGCAGATGAGGCTCATTAGCTGGGAAAACAAGTGTTCTATGAGAGACAACTCCAAACACACGTGTTGTGTGTGTTTGTTCATGGTTGTCAGTGTCCTCAATGCCACGTATACATAATTGTGGTTGAGTCGGCAAAGCTCATGTTTGTTAAATTCGAAAAAGATTCGATAAGGCTCGATCCTTTCAAAAAGAAAACTCAAAAATTGAGAATGAAGGAGAAAAATGTTGACCCCGTCCATTATTAAAAAAAAACCAGCACATCACTAAATACATTATCATTGCAGGTTGAGTAGATCGTATATGATTTTATTGTCACATCAGACGAGACATTTGCAGTGGCGTAGCGAGGTCGGGTGTCATTCGGTGCGGCACTTAATGGTGTCACCCCCAGACTCAAACTTTCCATTTGCACCACTTAAAACACTATTTAACGGTCGAATTAATCACTTAATTAAGTGGCAATATCATTTTTCTCTATATATTTTGCTATTTTTTGCCTTGGTGTCACCCCCCCCCCCTAAATGGTGTCACATGGTGCGGTGCGCCTCTGGACGTTTGTGAGGTCAGAGCACGCCAGTCAGAGCAATGAAGAAAACAACATGTAGCATCGCTCTTGTGTCGGATCGCTTCTGTGGGAATTTGATAGAAACAATAATTGTTCTGAAATAATGAAGTCGTTACACAACTGTGTTAAGTGTTATGATAATATTCTTGTGAATCAAAGAGCTAAAAGATATAGATCTACATATCATTTGAGTCAACCTATACTGTAGGCCAGGGGTCTCCAAACTTTTCAGTCCGAGGGCCACATAAACTATCAAATTTCAGTCCGGGGCCAGTTTCTTCCAGGCATGTTGTGATTTTTCTGAGCAAAGTTTCTCAGCCATCACCAATAAACGTTTATCCGTGGACAAAAAGATCTCTGCGGGCCGTAGTTTGGAGACCCCTGCTGTAGACGATTTATACCTGGACTAGCACCGTGTTGCCCCAACCACAAGCGCAACAACACATTACGCAAAGTAAATAATGCGCGTAAAGAAAATTGCATTCATTAAATAATGCGCGTAAATAAAATTGCGCAAGTCGAAGTGAATTTGTTACATTTTTGTTGACTATAACTTCGATTCTATAGGCTACATTTTATAAACTGCTATTGATTTCATACAGTAAACAACATATAGTAAAAAAACTAAAGTAAGTAAACTGTAAATCAACACGTTTCGGACTTCACATATTAACTTTCAAATTATAAATTACACTCGGAAATTGGAACTCTTTAATTGCACTTCTCATTGTAAATTATACTTCTTTTTTATTTAACACCCTAAGTTTCACATAATAAATTACACATTCTATCTGATAAACCTTTACCTTACATACTAGAAATCAACTTTGCGAATTACTAATTAAAACTGAACTCAGTTAATTATATATATTAAACGTCAAGAAATAACTACATATTTTTTAACTGCGGGTATTTTACTATAAATCACAATCTACGCATTGTGAATGGTTAATCTACACACTGTTACAGCAATGATTTAGCCTGCAGACTTTGGCCTTGTACCATTGCATGCTGAATTGAGAACCTCTCTGAACTTTGTGTTGTAAACCAAGTACAAGAACATTTGACGAACTTAGCCTGTGGGTTTAGGACCCCAGCACGCCGAGTTGAGAACCTCTCTGAACTTGGTGTTGTACACATAGTACAGGAACATGTTGACGGCCGAGTTGATGTTGGAGATGGTTGTCGTCACCACCATAACCAGGTTGTACGTGTTGTTGTATCGTCTGCCGAAGTTGAACTCCGGCACTAGCAGACGAGCGAACGACTGCATGACGGTTGGCAGGATGCAGACGACGTAGAGTGCGGCCACGGAGCAGACGGATTTAACCACACGGACATCCCTCGCGCTTAGTTTCGAATTTGGTTTCGTGTTTGTTTTCTCGTTGGCGTCGTCGATGGTGTTATCGTGTTTGGGGTTGGATAAGTTTTGTCTGAAATTCGACGCGGCGATGAGTTTTGACGTCATAACCACCAGGCTGATGATGATGATGGAGAGTGACGTGTACGGGACGACGTTGCGGTTCACCATGTCGTGGTAGGCGAGGGTTGAGACCCGGGCGTCGGTGACCCAGAGCACGACCCGGGTCTGGTTGGTGCGTGGGTCGACGACCCACGCCAACCCCTGGGTAAAATTTATCGGCACGTGAAGGATGATCACAATCACGCAGATCATCACTAAAGAGACGTAGGTTCGAAACCTGGTGAAGATGCTTTTAAATCTCAACGGCATGGCGACCAAACAGCATCTTGCGATAGCTATATACGCCGTAATGACGACAGTCGTGTCCTTGAAAATAATCGCATACCAGGTGAAATAAATAGCAAAAGGGAAAATATCCAACGTCCATGACTCCGCTGGATACACCAATGCCATGACATATCCCCCGAAACAGATAAAACCCATCAGAAATGAAAAACAAAAATCGGAAACGGATAAGACGAAAAACGAAAAGCTGACGATGTCCTTTAAGCCGATGCGTAGGTAAACGACAATGTTGACGGCGTTGGTGGCGGTGCCGAAGACGGTCATCGTCAGGCCGACGGGGTAGTAGAAGTAATCCAACGACTTGAGCGTTGCTCGGCTGATCGGGTCTTGAACCTGGGTCGGGTAGTCAACGCTGGTTGTGAGAGAATAGTTTACAGCCATGTCTAGTGCGATGGCTGAGGTATGTTTGTTTTATAGGGATGTTGTTAGATGGTCTAGTTGGTTGGATATGTGGGGGTGGGGTGGGGGGGGGGGGGTAAGAGGGGTGGGGACTTAAGGGTTTGACAGGACAATTTGGGGTAGGGGTGATCGGAAGAAAGGTATGGATTTGGGCGGTGGCTTGAAATGGGGGGTTGGGGAATTTGGTAAGTAATTGAGATAAATATGAATGGGGGTGACTGTAATAATTATTTTGAGGGTTGGTGTTGTTATAGGGAGGAAAAACGTGGGGGGGGGGGGGGGGGTTGAGTGGCAGAAGGGATGGGGGGTTGGGGTGGAGTTAGGCCAAGCCCATGTTTGTTCAGTACTGACTCAGCGAGTCATTAAAAATCAATTAAAATTGCCACACCGCAAATATTTTCTTAAAGAAATTTTCTCCAATATTTCGCAAGTTTACCTTTTCCTCACAAAATGTATCCAAAACACTAATTAGCACTACACCAATTACCACAATTAACCAAATAAGCAATCGCACAGTGTGTCTTTGCATGAGCAGTGATGCCTGGCCAAACGGATAGTGCCGTCGTTGAAATTATTCATGCAAACAATTTTTAAACGCACCGCCCCTGAGGATCAGCCTGTTAGAATTAAACAAACATCTATGTCGCTAGTTTGCGATGTAAGGCAATCGGTACTTCCCGATTAAAAAAACGAGGCGTCAACAAAATACTATCATCACAAACTTGTTTGAATTACCGAGGGCGATGTTCTATGGTATAGATTGGTGCGCAATTATCAGAAGTTTTATTGACATTTGAGGTCGTTTAATTGCACTGTGAGGAATTCTTTAAATTTTAAAATTGGGCAATTATAATGTTTAATGCACTCAAATGTTAAGCGATTAAATTTTGTTGGGGGTAAAATAAACTAAAGCTATTATAAATACATTCGTTAAATTACAGTTGATTGTTTTTTGTTGGGAACAGTTGGTAAATAATATAATGTATGTGTGTGTGGGTGGGGGGGGGGGGGGGTGAATGCTGATCATAATACCGTTGTTTGACATCATTAATTATTATTTGGTTAAGAATTTAGATAAATTTTGTTTAATTGCGTTTGCTGAAGGTTAAATATTTACAATTTTCTTTTAAAGAAAGAAGGTAGGTAAGTGTATATATGCGGTCGGGTTTAGTTGCCGTATTAGGTTACATTGTATAGTTTTGCTGTTGGTCTACATCAGGGGTCTCCTCTCATCCGGCCCGCGGAGATCTTTTTGTCCACGGAAAAAGACGTTTGTTGGTGATGGCTGAGGAACTTTGCCCAGAAAAATCAAAGATATGTCTGGAACTAACTGGCCCCCGAACTGAAAATTGATAGTTAATGCGGCCCTCGGACTGAAAAGTTTGGAGACCCCTGGTCTACATTTTTAGACTAGTATTAGGTCTTCTATTATTATACGTTTTGGGATTTTGGGATATAATTGAACATATGTTTTAATAATGTATATAGGGCCTATACATATATATAAATAT